CCGTCAAGTGGCTAAAATGAACAAATCAAGAAACTACAGATGCTGGCGAGGATGTGGAGAACCCTCTTACACTGTTGGTGGGAATGTAAACTGGTGTAGCTGCTCTGGAAAACAGTATGGAGTTTCCTCAAAAAATTAAAAACAGAACTCCCCTATGACCCAGCAATAGCGCTACTAGGACTTTACCCAAGTGATACGGGAGTGCTGATGCATAGGGGTACATGTACTCCAATTTTTATAGCCAAATTATGGAAAGATCCTAAGTGTCCATCAGCTGATGAATGGATAAAGAAGATGTGGTTTATATATACAATGGAATACTACTTGGCAATGAGAAAGAATAAAATCATTCCATTTGCAGCAGCATGGATGAAACTGGAAGGTATGCTGAGTGAAATAAGTCAGTCAGAGAAGGACAGATATTATATGTTTTCACTCATATGTGAATCTTGAGAAACTTAACAGAAGACCATGGGGAAAGGGAAAGGGAAAAAAGTAGTTACAGAGAGGAAGGGAGGCAAACCACAAGAGACCTTTAAATACAGAGAACAAATTGAAGGTAGATGGGGAGGTGGGGGAGAGGGGAAATGAGTGATGGGCATTGAGGAAGGCACTTGTTGGGATGAACACTGGGTGTTGTTTGTAAGCCAATATGACAATAAATTATATTTAAAAAATGTGTGTGTACATACATATATATGTATTTGCACAATTTTATATATTTAAATATATAGTACTTACATATACATATGAAGCTTTAATTTATTTCTCAATGTCTTGTGGGACAAATTCTTCAATAACCTTTATTGTTTAGTTTTTCTTATTTTTGCTCTCAAATATTTATTGTTATAGATAAAACTTAGAAGAATTTCTCATGTTCCCATAGATAGCCTACCAGGGACTATGGTAGTGTTCAAATTATATATTGACATAAGGAAATTTTACATCTCTATAATATTGAGTTCTATTGCCTACAAGAAGGTGTGAATCTCCAATTTTCAAGTTTCTTTGTATTAGTTATACTAACATTAGCTGCTGGAACAAATGACTTCTGAATGCAGTGGCTTAACATAAAAAAATCCAATCGGGTTCACAGGACTGCATTCTCTTTGCAGAGTAGTTCAGAGATGAAAGCTTCCTCCTCCTCCTCCTCCTCCTCCTCCTCCTCCTCCTCCTCCTCCTCCTCCTTCTTCTTCTTCTTCTTCTTCTTCTTCTTCTTCTTCTTCTTCTTCTTCTTCCTCTGCCTTTCCACTCCCATTTCAAAATCCTTTGTCATTAAATGGTGGAAAAACAAGGAACATACCTGTTTCTTAGCCACTTTGGCCCAAAATATCACATATTATTTCTACATTAGGTCCTTAACGATGTTGGAAAGAAATCAAAACAGTAAGAACTGGAAAGAAAAAAACAAAAACATATATGATTTGTATGTGATAGGATCTTCTATTAAAAAGAAAAAAAAGAATCCATAGACTTTACAAATATAGGTTGCCTAATTTGAGATCAATTTATAAGACAGTAGCATTTTTTTCTATACCGTGAATAACCAAATATAAAATATAGAAAAAAAACTTTCATAATAATAAAAACTATTGCAGACATTCTGGAAAATGATCTGTTGATACTTAATCAAATACGTGTATGTATATGCCCATGGGCCGGCAATCTCATAAATATGTGTGTAAAAATCTTCAACAACATATCAAGTTGAATCCAACAATATATTCAAAGATCATCAACAAAGTAAAGTTTATCATAGGAATGCAAAGATGGTTAAATATTTGAAAAGTAATCACTACCTTAAATGAATAAAAACAAATAGGCATCTGCCATTCTCAATAAATATTTTAAAAATCTGACAAAATTCAATGCCTATTCATAATAGACACTTGTGGCAAACTAAAAATAGATTAGAAATTCTAAACCTGAACCCAAGGAATTACAAACACCTAACAGACAATATATTTAAAAATTATATGGATAATTTTAATATTAGGAACATTATAATATTATGACCTGATATTAATATTAGTTAATATTAATATCAGTTATTAGTTAATATTAGTTAATATTAATATTAGGGACACAGCAAAATATCTGTTCTCATCACTTGTATTTAACATTGTGTTGAGATCCTAGCCACTGCAGTAAGGCAAGAACAAGCCTTCTCAAAGTAGAACTATGAGAAGTTCTTTGAGATATATCCCAGTCATGAGATGTGATGTTGGTGAAGGAATAGAGACTGATTAATAGATTAGAATACACAGCACTGATATATAGTGGCAGTATATGCTAAAGGCAACTTTAGTTCAATAAGAGAATAGATGTATTAAAGTAAGCTGAGTGCTTACTTTATAACTTACAACAAAATAAATTCCAAATTAACTGAATATTTAATTTCATTCATTCCATAAGAATGTATTTGTTGAACACTTACTATATGCCAAGCCCTGTTCTAGGACAAAAACTCCCACCATAATGGAGCTTACATTCTAATGGTGGAGAGAGGGACAGTAAGACAATTAAATACGTGAAGTATGTAGTGGGGTACATGGTGACAAGTACTGTGAAGGAAAATGTGGCAAAGAAGAGAGTTAGTGTTTCCCCAGGAGGTGGGCATGGGATACAATCTACATGGAAAAAGTGACATTTCAGCAAAGATTTGAAGACAGTGTTTCAAGTGAGTCAGAAATTATTTTATAAAATTAGTAGCACTTATTCTTTAAATGTTCAATAAAAGTCACCAATGAGATTATCTGGACTTGAAGTTTTCTTTTAAGGAAAATTTGAATTAAAGATTCAAAGTTTTTGATAAATAAGGGGCTATTCAAATTTTCTATTTCTTCTTGCATCAGTTTTGGTATAATACCTATCATTAGACATTGTCCAGTTTATCTAGGTTGCCTAATTGATCAGTATAACTTTGTTCATAATATTCCTCTATTATTATTTTTATGTTTGTAGGATCTGTGATAATATCCCTTTTCACATTACTTATGTTGATCATTTGTGTGTTCTTCTTCTTTTTTATCAGTTTAGCTAAAGGTTAATCAATTTCATTGATGTTGCCAACAAATTAAGTTTTGATTCATTGATTTTTAAAATCTGTTTATTTGTTCCTATTTCATTGCTTTCTATTCTTCATCATCTTCTTGTTTGTACTTACTTTAGAAGTAATTTCCTCTTCTTTTCCTAGATTCCTAAGATGAAAGCCTACGTCAATGATTTTAAATGTTCCTTCTTTTCTAATAAAAAAATCTTAACTTTAAATTTCTTTCCCTGTAAGCCCTGTTTAGCCATATTGCCTAAATTATGATGTACTTTGTCACCATTCTGTTAAAAATATTTTCAGGGTGCCTGGGTGGCTCAGTTAAGCATCTGACTCGGATCAGGTTATGATCTCACAGTTCATGAGTTTGAATCCTGCATCCAGCTCTATGCTGACAGCCCAGAGCCTGGAGCCAACTTCAGATTCTGCGTCTTCCTCTCTCTCTGCTCCTCTCCAACTCATGCTCTGTCTCTCTCAAAAATAAATAAACATTAAAAAAATTATAAAATTTGTTTCTAAACTCCCTTGTGATTCTTCTTTGATTATGAGTGATTTATAAATGTGTTACTTAATTTCCAAATATTTGGGTAATTTCTACATATCCTTTTCTTATTTTTTCTACATTAATTCCATTCTAGTCAGAGAGAATAATATGTATGATTTCAATCCTTCTCATATTTGTTAGAACTTGTTAATTTGTCTGAATATGATCTACCTTAGAGAATGTTCCAGTATATGCATTATACTGTTGTTGGGTGCAGTAGTCTATAAATATTAATTACATCACAGTGGTTGATAACATTTTTTAGGTATTTTTAATCTTTACTTATTTTTTGTCTATTCTATCAAGAACTGGAAGTATTGATGCAATTAAATATAACTGAATTTGTTTATTTCACCTTTCATTTGTATCAGTTTTTCTTTATGTATTTTGAGGCTTGGCTATTTGGCGGATACACGGTTAAGATTGTTATATCTTCTTATTGAATTGACTGTTTTGTCATTATGAAATACCGCTCTTTATTTTTGATAGCATTTATTGTTATGAATTCTACTTTGTCAGATATTAGTATAGCCGGTCCAACTTTCTCTTAATGTTGTTTCATTGTATGTCATTTTTCATCCCTTTACTTTCATGTTGTTCATGGCTTTATATTTAATATTTGTTTTTTAGATAACATATAGTTTGGACTTTTATTTAAGTGACAATATTGCCTTTAATTGGAGTGTTTAGCTCATTTACAGTTAATGAAATCATAAATATGTTGTTTTCTATCTGTTTGTTGGTTCACTGTTTCTTTCCTTTCCTACCTTCTCTGCTTCTTTGGATTGATTGATTACTTTTAGGATTCATTTTGTCCCTACTATTGACTTGTTGACTATATATCTTTGTTTTGTTTTTTATGTTTGGTCTAGGCTTTCCAATATGTACCTTTAACTTATACTCTATCTTTAAATAGTATTACACTTCAGGTTTACTTTCATTTCTCTCTTCCCATCCTTTTGCCATTTTTTCATATAATTCACTTTTCTTCATGATATAAACGTTACAATTCATTGGTATTATATTTTTTAATTCAACAAGTCAATTACCTATTAAAGAAAGTTTTAAAAAAGAAAAAAGTATTCTATATTTCCACTTATGGATTATCTCTTCAGTTCTTTATTCCCTAATGTCGATCCAAGTTTCTGTTTGGTGTCTTATTCCAGCATAAAGAAATTTCTCTGGCGTTTCTCATAGTGTAGAGAAGAGCTCCAATCAATAATTCTCTCAGTTTGTGATTACCTGAAAATGTAATTTTTTCACTTTCATTTTCAAAGAATAGTTGTGTTGGATAAAGAATTCTAGGTTGATGAAATTTTTCTTTAGTCCTTTAAATATGTCATTTCACTGTCATCTGTTTGTATTGTTTTTAACCAAAGGTCCATGGAGTTGCTATGGAGGCGGGAAACAAGGGGTGAAGATGGTTTACATCTTGAATGGACAAGTGTTGGACAACCCGAGTCAGTCCCCATAGAGATTATCTTTGATAACAGATTTCTTCTGGGGAGTAGCTGAGTCCGTGATTTTGTTTTTCAAGACTCTGTTTCAGCAAGATGTGAAAAAGAGAAGAGGCTACAGAAACTCCTCTGATTCCAGATATGATGATGGAAGAGGGCCACCAGGAACCACCCCCCCAAGAAGAATGGGTCGAATTAATCATCTGCATGGCCCTAGTCCTCCTCCAATGGCTGGTGGATGAGGAAGCAGACAACTGGACATGCACATTCATAGCAGAAGGAAACCATCAAGAGGGCGAGGGCTGACCATGTTGGACAAGCAAATGAATGTGTGCGTGTAAACAAGGATTGCTCTGTGTGCTCCCAGACGGATAACATCGTGCTGGGAATTCCTTCCCCAGGGATCTGGCATGACTGACCTGCAATTCTATAAACACACATGTTTGTCTCATTATCTTTTTTGTATAGCTTATGAAAGTATTACTATAGTTTTAATGAAATATTTTTAGGTTACAAAACTTGACTTGTCATCTTTGTATAATTAAAACACTCCAAATTTGAAGAAAAATAAAGATCTAGTATTCAGTAAAAAAAAAAAAAAATCAAAGGTCTATGGTGTTTCCTATGTGTGTTCCCGCCTATGTATGTATCTATTTTTCTGAATATTTTGAAACTTTTCCTTTTATTAATGGGTTTTCAGAAATTTGTTTATCTTGTGTCTTTATGTAGTTTTTTTCTTAACATTTATCTTGCTTAGGGTTCCTTGAATTTCTTGGTTGTTTGAATTTATAGTTTTTACTAAATTTGGAACTTTTTCAGCCATTATTTCTTTAAATATATTTTCTGCCCTTTTCTTACTTCTCTTCTGGGACTCCAATTATTTGCATATTATGTCACTTAATAATTATCCCACAAGTCATTGAGGCTTTAAGTTTCTCAGTTTTTCTCTGTATTTCATTTTGCATAGTTTCTTTTGCTATGCTTTCAAGCTGATTGACCTGTTATTACATAGTGTCTATAAATTTTATCCAGTGAAACTTTCCCTTCACATGTTATATTTTTTAATCTCTAGAATTTCCCCATATGTTCCATTTCTTTCTCCTTTATGTAATACTCTTTTTAAAGTCCTCAAACATATTTAAAATTGTGATTTTAAAATCTGTTCTTGATATTTCCATCAACTCTGTCATTTTTAGATTTGTTTCTATAATTGATTTTTTCACCTTTTTCTGGGTCACAATTTCCTGCTTCATGTCATATCTTATCATTTTTCATTAGAAGACACATCATTAATATTGTTGTTGAGTTGTTGAATTTTTTTCTTTTATATTACAGAGGATTTAAATTTTGTAGGAGAGACAGTTAAATTACTTGACTTAATCCTCTCAAGATTTGTTTTATGTTTTGTGAGAGCAAGACTACAATAGCTTCTGTGATTTGTTTTATGATTTTTCTTCTTTAGCTTTTACTATATTTTTGTTTATTCATAATATTCTGTATTTAATTAATTATCTGTAGTTCAAGTATGTTCTGTCTTCAGTTTTTTAATTGTTACTTTTATGTCTTTATATACTCATTCAAACCTTTCAAATCTGCCATATATTTTCATTTATTCTCTGAAAAAAATGGAAAAAACACATTTTCACAATTCACACATTTTTCCTTCTGCCATTCACCTCCTTCACTTCTTGATGTCTGTGTGTGCATGTATGGGTGTGTTGTTTACTGTGAAATTTTGTCCATATCTGTTATATTTAAAGTATTATTTTATACCATATATAGATAAATAGATCTCTATATAGATAGATATTCCATCACAAATTTAACATTTAATTTTTGTTTGTAATCACAACAATGACACTTACTGAAATTTAGATTGATTTTTAAAATAAGATATGTCGTCTATCGATTCCAAAGGAGGCCGTGGGTTAATTCCCATAGGTTTCTGAATAACCTAAAATACTACATACATTTCTATGTATATGTAGTGTGTGTGTATACATATATATTTTTTTCCTTCCTGAGAAGGTCCACGCCTTTCTCAGAATCTCTTAGGGATTAAGAACAAAGGAATTAATTAATCCATATTCACTAATGGCCCTTGAATCCCATAATTTCCCTATTCCTTTTGGTTCATCTTTTCCATTGCTGGAATACTTCTGCAAATGACCCCTTCCATGAATTGTTTATTGGTGATTTACTTCCCAAATTCTTGGTCTTTTGACTAGCCTTTCTTTTGCCTTTACAATAGCAACTTGACTATTTAAGGAATACTTGGCCAAAGTTTTCCTACTGAAATTCTCTGATACTGCTAATGTGAATTTTGGACTAGCTTGATGATTTCTATTGTTGGTTATATATTTCCTCTTGCTGAATGCTTGTAATAATAGATGGTATTTACCAAGTACTTATTATGTGCCAGACAACAGGCTAAATACTTTGGCAAGTGTTTTTCACATTTCATTCCATGATGATCTTATAAGTTATACACTACCTGTCTAACATTAGAGCCATGCAGTTTTAAGCTCGGCAGGGTGACTGAAGCCTTAAACAGTCTTATACTGATCTGTAGAATTATTTTTCTTTTTGTTCTTAAAGTTCTGTGTCTTTGCTCAGAGAAACCTTGGGGGGCTGACAAATTCTTATTCATTTGCCTCTTATGGTGAGCCTTTGCAAACTGCATATTTCCCTTTTTGTGTTTTTTTGCTGATCATTTTTTACTACTTCAAGCTACCTACCAAACACCCATTGTTTGATTTCCATAGCAGCAATCTTCACTCCGATTATTTTCTTTCCTTGGTCCTTTCCTCTTCATTCTGAGTGATTTCCTCAAGATAGTTCTCTACTGATTCAGTTTTTTAAACATGAGTACTGTTTTGGTTCTTCTACTGTAGTTTTCATTCTGTGATAACATTCTTCTCCTTTGTTTTACTTACCTGTGGCAATTTCCTTTTGATTTTGTTCTCTTCTCCCATGTCTTGTTTAACAGGGTCATTTAACTCCTCTTTTCTTGAGAGTGTGATGGAGTCGTGTATTTTTCATTATGTCTTCTAGCATATAAGTGGCTTCAAATTATGTTTTTAACTCTCATATCTCTTCTCTCTCTGTCTCTGTCTCTCTTTGAATGTTAGGCTAATTTTCTTCCTTTTCATTGTATAATTTTTCTAGGTCTCAAGCTTCAGTTTTTATTCTGCAGTCTCATCTGTGAGTGAAGATAGAAGTTCTGAATCTATCATCAATAGTGAGAAAGCCAACTCTCATCCCATAGGATTTGGTCTGAGGGGCTAAATGTCATAGATTAAAGTATCACTTCATTCGTTTATTTTCCCAAGGAAGTTAGAGAAGGAGGTAAGACCACAGACAACTTGGTAGGAACCTCTTCACTGGGCTAGCACTTGCAGAGAGGAGTAAAGAAAGGGGTCCCTCAGGTTTCTGCTTGTTCATCTACTACAGCGTGAGTGGAAACTTTTGCTCTTCTGATACCTAGTACCTACGCATGCCATTTGGTTGATCAGATATTTTCTCAACTCAATAACTGTTGTTTATTGCTGCTGATCTAGGGTTGTGATGTTGTTTTGTGGGAAATTATCTCAAATCTTTCATCTGTACTAATCTTGCCTCCAGATCATTCTCTTAGGCTTGAGAAAATGATACGCAGTCTATGAACACTGAGGCATTCTGCCAGTTTGGTGCCCACTGCTCATCCATAGAAAGGGAATGGACCCCCCAGTAATATGGTCTCATCTTTTCTGTGTCCCACTCACAGTGCTGTTCCTTTTTCTCCAAGTTGGGAAACGTATCATGAACTAATAGAATTGTTTCAAGCCACTTCCCTTAATTCTCTGCCATTCTCATAGGTACAGGAATTATGTATCAACTCCTGGAATCCTCTTTTAATTTGGTATGAAATTTTCCTTTAAATTGTAGTATATCTGGCAGGTGTCTCTTAAATCTTAGCAAATACTTACATTTTAGAGGCAAATGGCTGTGATTAAGAGGGATTAATCAGAAAGACTGGAAAGTGAGATCAGAGAAGACAAGCAAAGCAAGTATTTTAAGAGGGATAATGCAGTTATTAATATTAAATGCTGTGGAGACAGTATATAGAATGAGAGCTGAGAGGAGTCCATAGGGTTTATACAACAGGGAGGCCATTGATGTAGGTAGAATAGAAGAGCAAGTTTCAGCGGAATGTCCAGGGCAAGAAAGAGATGGCAGGAGGTTATTAAATACATGAAAAATGTAAAATAAATGTGAACAGAGTATGTGACAGTAGAGATGGCCAATGATCTCTCTGGTCATCAGTTCCTTTTCCCATAAAATAAAGCGGGACTAGAAATCTCCAAGGTGCCTTCTGCTGTGAGGAACTGCCAAGCTGAAGTAAGGGCTCACTTTTTTTTTAACACAAACTACTCAGGAACTTCTCCATGAAATCTATAGAAAGGACACCAACTATGAAGTACTTTTGCTGAAACAAATTGAAAGCGACTCTAATCAAGACTTCAGGTCTAACTTCCTGTGCACAGGAAATATAGGGGAGAGAGGAACAAGCTTAAGATGCCAAGGAAATAATAGGTCCCATCCAGAATGTGCGACATTTTCCAGGGGAGGCAAGAAATCAATAGCACCAAAAGAAGTCATAAAAACTAAAATTTAAATTTAAAAGAAGGACAGAAATTAAGAATATAAGGAAAGAAAGAAGGATGGAAGGAGAGAAAGAAGAAAGGAGGGAGGGAAGGAGGGAAGAAAGGAGGGAGGGAAGGAGGGAAGGAAGGAAGGAAGGAAGGAGGGAAGAAAGGAGAGAGGGAAGGAGGGAAGGAGGGAAGGAAGGAAGGAAGGAAGGAAGGAAGGAAGGAAGGAAGGAAGAAGGAAGGAAGGAAGGAAGGAAGGAGGGAGGGAAGGAGGGAAGGAAGGAAGGAAGGACGGAAGGAGGGAAGGAAGGAAGGAAGGAGGGAAGGAAGGAAGGAAGGAAGGAAGGAAGGAAGGAGGGAAGGAAGGAAGGGGAGGAGAGATGCAGCTGACTCTTACCCCCCGATATTTGAGTTCCCAACAGCCAGAGGGGATGAGTCCTCTTCATGTTGGTAGCATCCACCCGGGTCACCTGTGGCTCTGTCCCTTTCTGTCTCGGACATTCTTCTGGTATCACAGGAGCTCACTCAGCCCATGAGCAGACCACCCAAGAAATGACCAATAAAGAGTGAATGAAGGTCAGCGCTAACGTCCCCATTTTACCCACCTTGCT